GATGTCCCTATTTCCCCCCTTTTGCCCCCTCTACCCAGCTCTTGCCTCCCACTTCTCTCTGGCCATCACCATCCTGTTGTCTGTGTCCATGGGTTGTGCATATATTTTCTTTGGCTAATCCCTTCTTTAAATTCACTTCTTTAAATTTTTATTTTCAGATAAGTGCTTATAACTGCACTATTATATATTTTCTATTATATCATTTAGAATTAAGATATTTTTTAATTGAACCCTTGTAAATTTTAGCACAATTTAATAAATTATGCTAGAAGCAATTAGGAGATTTTTCATGTAATGCAGATACATTTCAATTAATATTTTATTAATTTTTAATTTTTTAATATTTTAATTTGAAATAATCTCATACATGTAAAAAAAACCTATGAAATACTACAGCATATTATATGTACCCTTCACCCAATTTCTTAGGTGTTAATAATTTAAACATAACCATTATACAACTAACAAAATTTGGAATATATTTTTCTTATAATCTCTTTAATGTTACTTAATCCATTTACTTTGTTTTTGTTAATCTTCACCCAAGGATATTTTTCCATTGAATTTTAGAGAGAGTGAAGGGAAAGGGAGAGACACATTGATTGGTTGCCTCCTGCACATGCTTTGATAGGGACTGGGGATCAAGCCAGCAACTGAGGTACATGCCCTTGACTGGAATCGAACCTGGGACCCTTCAGTCCACGGGCTAATGCTCTATCCACTGAGCAAAACAGGCTGCAGCTTAATTCATTTACTTTTAATCTATATGTGTCTTTATATTTAAAGTGGGTTTTGTTTTTGATTCACCCTCATAATCTGTCTTTTAATTGGTGCATTTATGCCACTGACTTTCAGAGTGCTTACTGATAGAGTTACTACCATATCAGGCGGCTCCTGGGGGCTTCTGGGGTGGGCGTGCCTTCCCGGGTGGCCGGCGCGCTGGTGGTTGGTGCTGCCCTGCCCTGCCTGCAGTATGCAAATTAGCCGCCATCTTTGTTGGTGGTTAATTTGCATATCACACTGATTAGCCAATGGGAGGCGTAGCGAAGGTGCGGTCAATTACCATGTTTGTCTATTATTAGATAGAATTAACTAATTCTGGTGGTATCACTATCAGAATCATTTTACACAGTTACCCCTTTATCCTCGACGCACTTTCTTCATTTGGTTTCCTAGTTTTCTTTCTCTTCCTATGGCTCTGGCTTTCTAGTCTTTCCACAATATTTATTATGTGCAAAGCAGTGTTCTAAGCGTTTGTGATACACCCATGAGCAAAATAGGCAAAAAGCCCTACCCTTATGTAACTTAACTTCTAGTGGGAGGAGGAAGATCAGCAATAATAAACTTAATAAATAAATGTTCGAGTAGAAGCCAAAAGGACAGGAAGTATTAGGTGGTGTTGCATTTTTAAGTAGGGTCCTCAGTGGAAGCTCACTGAAAAGATGACATCACACAGGCAAGCACATTCCCACCTCAAGGCCTTTGCCCTTGCCATCCCTCTGGAATGTTCTCCCCCTTGACTTGAAACATTCTCCCACTGACATTCCCATGATGTGCCCCTTTGTCTGCTTTGGGCCTTTATAGAAAGGTTACCTTACTGTCCTCACTTTCATGGCCACCTCTTTGAAATTACAGCTCTCTTTCCCCTTCATTTTAACTACTGCTTTAATCATTTACCTCATTTATTGCTTGATTTCCTACACTGTTATCTCAACTCCATCAGGGCAACTTCATTGCTTGTTTTTTCTCTCTTGTGTTCCCAGCTTCTAAAAATGGTTTTAGAAATATCCAGGCTTCCAAATTTTTAATTGGGTCAATATTGCTCATTCGTGTTTTCTAAGAATTTGTGCCATTTGACTAACTTTTCAAAATTATTATCAGAAAATTGTTCAAAATTGTCTCTTCTATTTTTTGGTAATCTTTTCTGTGCCCACAGTTAAGCCCCTATGTTTCTCCATACTGTTTCTTTGCACCTTCTCACTCTCCTTAATTGCACCTTTGGCATTGTTGGTTTTCTCTGTCATATCCTAACCATTTTTACCCATCCACTTTCTTACCAGAGGAATAATATTATCAATTTTTAAAAAATATTTTAATAGTTTATTTCTTTTTAGAGAGGAAGGGGAATGGAGAGAGAGAGAGAGACAGAGAGAGAGAGAGAGAGAGAGAGAGAGAGAGAGAGAGACATCTATGTGAGAGCGTAACATCAATTAGGCATTGAACCGGCAAGCTCATGGTGTACACAGGATGATGCCCAACCAATTGAGCCACACCAGCCAGGGCAATTATTACCACTTTTTTAATGGTATCGCCCTGGCTGCTGTGTGAGAATAGATTGGATTAAAGGGTAGGAGCCACGTAATCAGTTTCAATAATCCAAATAAAGTCACCAGAACCAGGGTGGTCGTTGTAGAGATGTTGAGAAATGGTCAGATTCTGAATAAAATTTTAGGTCAGAGCAAAGAAAATTTTCAGCATTAGATATTGATTATGAAGGAAGGGGAGTCAGACATGACACTGATTTGGGGACTGAGTAACTGGGAACTGGAATTCTCATCAGTTCAGACAGAGAAATGATAAAACAGATTTGACAGAAATGTGTCTGGATCACAGAAGGGAGGTACAGAGTGACTGAAATACAGCAGTAGCTGCTCTGGGACAGTCCTCTGTCCTCTGGACCAGCTTGGGCCGCACGTACTGCCTTCTTTCTGGGCAAGAGAGATTTGTGAGTATCTGTGCAGTTACCTACAGACTCAAAGCAGGTTAAAACGTAGATACAGCCAAATACCAGTATGTCAGGATAGAAATAGTTTGCCCCTGGCTTTTTCTACAATGTAAACATTAATATCCTGCCCCCAAATTAATGTCACATATGTCAACAAACACATATGACTTCAAACATTTTAATTTAGAGCATGAGAGCCTTTCATTCTTTCCTCCCATCAAGTGTTTCTCATAAGGCTTTAGGCTCTTTTTTTGCTTCTATTTTCTCCAGTTAATCCACTAAATCCTGGTTTGATTGAAACAGTATTCACTTAAACATATCACTCTGGTGGACTAAGGTGTCTTACTTTTCAGTGAGTGACAACCTGTTGTGTATTTATTCTGCTATTGAGAAATAAACTAGGCTCTAGAACAGAGGTCCTCAAACTTTTTAAACAGGGGGCCAGTTCACTGTCCCTCAGACATTCCACACATGCACACTGTGGACTCGGGACGAGTCGGCTGCTAAGCAGGACAGGCAGCGGCGGCAAAAACACCTGGCGGGCCGGATAAATGTTTTCAGCGGTCCGCATGTGGCCCGCGGGCCGTAGTTTGAGGACCCCTGCTCTAGAATATATGGCATGAAATTGTTCACCTCTGTCTTTCTTTACAATTGACTAGAAATTGTGAAATTCATGTAAATCTTTATATACATAAGTCTGTTGACAGTGAAAACCTCAGAAAACAAATCAAGGGAGATTCAAATTAATATAAATAAATTATTCGAATTATGGAGTCCTATACAGTCTGCAAAGAATACTTATAAACTTAACATGTGATATCTATGGGAAATTCCCTGTGCTTATTTGAAATCTTCCAACCATAAGGGTATTTTCATAAAATGTTGTAATATAGTCAACTTACTTTAGATGGCAAGCAAATATCACTTTATGATAGCTTGCATGCATTCAAAATAAAAAAAACCATAGCGTCTAATATTTTTTTGCCGTTAAAGGGTTAAATTAGTTGTGCTTATTGTTAAGCTTTTAAAAACCAGCATATCTAAAAATTCCAGGAAGGAGAAAAATACCACCAAATCACTGTGTGTGGCAATCATGCCATTTTCCTTTGGATCATGTACCTTTAAAACGTGTGAATGCAATGCTGTGCGAGTGGCATGTGTGTTTAAAAGATGCCATGATCGTTAGATGCAGCGCTAGCCGGGGCCTTGCAGACCAACACGGGCTCCTGTGTGAGGGAAAGCCTGTGACAGGCGCCGAGCCGCATGTGGATGTGGCAACAGCATCAAATTGTCGAACACATTGACTCATCGGTGCAGGCTGCAAATTATGCTTCTTAGCCTCCTGTGAACATGTTGCCTCATTTTTTTATTATTTTTTTCTTAAATCGTATCTTAGGATCTGCTTCAAAACACAGATGCCCACAAAAGAGCCTTCCATGAAATCTACCGGACCCGGTCGGTCAACGGCATCCCAGTGCCACCTGACCAGTTAGAGGACATGGCCGAGAGGTAAGCAGATGTCTTAGATGAAGCCTCTTTGTAAAATGCTCGGTGAATGCTTTTTCCATCGCTTTTCTTTTTTTTATGCATTTGTATTTTCTTGTTCAGAAAGGCTTACATTTGGTAGAGTAAAATTGGACTCCCATACATATGCTTAAGCATGCCAGCATGCTAACACATCATTAATTAAAGAGTTAACCTGCTTGTGTTCAGAGCCTGGAAATCACAGAACTGGTTTCTTCAGAGGCTGTATTTTTATTCAGGGCTGTGAGGAACATTATGTAATATTGCGAGAACAGTGTATAAAAGAAACAGATGAGAGATGCTGGCAGGGGAAAGAGCTATATCAAAGGCTTCACTCAATCCCGAATCGCCTTTAAACCCAGAGCCAGAAAAAGGAATCTGATCTCCAGATAGTGATCGATCAGCCAGAGTTTAGAAGACCTGGTGCCTGCATTAGGTTCCTCACGGACTGTGACAGGTTAAGTAAGCCCCGCTCTGTTACTTAGTTACATTCTGTGCATTCTCCTTGTTTTATTTCTAGGTTTCATTTCGTTTCCTCCACATCAGAACTGCACTTAATGAAAATGGAATTTCTAGAATTAAAGTACCGTCTGCTCTCACTGCTGGTTCTTGCAGAGTCGAAGCTGAAGTCTTGGATCATCAAATACGGGAGGAGAGACTCGGTGGAGCTGCTGCTGCAGAACTACATCGTAAGTGCCCCCGGTGCTTGGGTAGAGGAATCAGGGGGCCGGGGATGTCGCATTGAGTACCGGCCAGTGTAGCTGATAACTTCCTCTTGGGTTGAAACATGAAGGGTTCCAGTGTGTGAAAGGGGCTCCATAGAAGTTTGTGAAATATACAAATTGCCATCTGAAATATACACCTATAGTCTTCAGAGATATAAAAGATTTTGCTGCATTAACCATATTGAACCATTGTGACTGACTTTATTGCTTAAAAAAGAAAAGTTTTTGCATTGTATACCCATGACTTTGACTGTGAGCTCACCATTGAAACAGAGTGAACATACTTAGAGGTTATCTTCTTGTCTCTAAAACCCAGTCTTGGAAGAACAATTCTCAATTGCTGTAAACAATTTTTTTTTTTTTAGATTAGGTCCAGCTTGTCTTTTTTATGGTTATTCCCTGAGCATTTTTGCTTCTTATGTGCACCTAGGAAAAGTAAAAAATTGTAAATCTCTATACCAATTTAATTTTTAAAGATTATCTCATATTTCAGGTTATCAGTAAAGATTATCTCATATTTTAGGTTATTTAGATAGAATAGTAGTTCTGTACTAATGAAGGAGTTAGGTTGTTCTATAACTAGGAGTTTCCATTTACATGTAATTAGAGAATTATAATTATCAAAGGCAGCTTATTTCTCTTAAACACCCACCCACCCAAATTTATTAAAAATACAAATTTTCTCACGAAAGAAATGTTAATAGAACATCTCAGTTCTGACTTGTTCCATTGATGTTTAATCACAAATTCTAAATAATAAATTAATAAATTCAAAATGTAGGCCCATATTTTACCTACCAGTCACAATAACTGTGTAATTGACATGATTGATACTTGTTGAAACCATGTCTTTATTGAAGAAGCATCCTAGAACCATAAAATATTTTGCTACATTTCAATTTCATTTTCTAAGTGATAAATGAACAACATGCATTTAGGGAGGAAAAGGTTTAACAGGTTTATGGTAAAATATTTCTTTTGATTTAATTTATTGTCTCAGAAATAATTGTCAAAAATGTGAACTCTGTTGTATGTTCCCTTATTCATTTTTAATTATTTTGAAAAGCAATACAAAAATCTATATTTTTTAACTGCAAGTACTTACATCAGACTTTTTTTTAAAATTTTTTTATTGGTTAAGGTATTACAAATGTTTCCTCATCCCCCCCTTACATCAGACTTTTAAATATTAAATACAGATATGTATTTGGGTTTAGTCATATAAATGATACACTCTGAACTCCGTAGGTAATTATTCAGGATTCGTCTTTTTCCAGCTATTTAAGGACGACCAGTCAGATTGAAATGCCTAATAGGAGTGTTGCACCAGGTTAATGTTCAACACAACAATGTTAGTAATTCTCTTTGACTTCCTCAAGTAAAAGGTTTGTGAGTGGAGAGTTGTTACCAATGATTTAAAAAAAGCAGTATTTTCTGCCAGTCCATAAAGTTCACCATACAGCTCATTTTAAACTGCTTTCTAAGTCAGTCATTTGTAAAATTGCTAGTTACTCTACAAACATAGCAGGTTTCAATGAACATGTCCTGATATTCTTATGCCCTGTGAAAAAGACCTATTTATCACTCATACTATTTCCCAAAAAGGGTTTTACGGTATTTTTTAACAGTTTGAATAACTTTGGAAGATTGAACATTTGTCATTTGCCAAGGGTTTTCATTTTGTTTCACCAAGGAAACAAAGACGGAACGCTTCAGTCACATGCTCTGGGGGCCTAGCTGGTAAGGAGTGGAGTCAGGATTTGAATCCATCTCTTTCCTACTCAAAAGCCCTTGTGCTTAAGCAGTAAACTTTACTAACAAAATTGTCTGTGAAAAAATAATTTTTAACTTTAATAGACCAAATCATCAAAATGATTTCTTATAGCTGAAAGAACTAAAGAATTGTAACTCACATAAATATTAGTTCCATTTAGTATTGGTCCATATTGACAATATTTTACTTTCATACTGTAGCCTGATAGTTCCTACTATTTCTGTTATAGGCAACATGGATTTAGGGCAGGGCGAGGTCAGATGGGGGACCTTATGGAAGCTTGGCCACCAGTCATGCAGAAAGGTGTTGAAGCATGGCTAGGTCCTTACTACCCATGTCACTTTATAAATAGCTTGATTCTAGAAGACTCACTTTTTCCTAAATCTATATATACAAAAGCCTAAGTGACCGTTCGACCGTTTGACATTCGACTGGTAGCTATGATGTGCACTGACCACCAGGGGGCAGACGCTCAACACAAAGGCATGGAAACAGGGAACTGACTGATGAATCTCAGAGGGTAGCGGGGAGGGTGGGAAGAGATTAACCAAAGATCTTATATGCATTCTAGAGGCCCAGTGCACGGATTTGTGCACCGGTGGGGTCCCTTGGCCTGACCTATGGGGATCAGGCCAAAACCGGCAATCCAAAACCCCCCAAGAGGCCCTGGATTGCAAGAGGGCACATGCCAGGCTGAAGGATGCCACCGTGCATGAATCCATGCACCGGGCCTCTAGTTTAATAATGATGATAATAATAAAAATAATAATAATAGGAATGTTCTAAGGAACAAAGACTGACACACACTGTTTTACTTCTACCTGACACCCCACAGACACTCTCTTATCCTTTTGGAGTTTGGAGGAAAATCACTCTCTTTAAAACAGACTATTTCAAAGAGTATAAAGACTTTCAAGTAAAATTAGAAATCAGGTTCTTAAATATAATCCTTTCCTTGTTTTCTAAAAATAATTTACTGTAGTGAACCATATGCTTCAGTATCACCTAATAACCAAAATAATATTCAGGATGTAAAATTTCCATAATTATCTTTGCCTTAGTCTGAATTCTCAATTAAATCTTTTAAAATTTTATTTTTCAATTAAATTGGGCACACCCCACACCGGGGATCTAGCCCGCAATCTGGGCATGTGCCCTGACTGGGAATTGAACCGTGACCTCCTGGTTCATAGGTCAATGCTCAACCCCTGAGCCACGCTGGCTGGGCCTAATTTGTACTTCTTAATCCCTTCACTTTTTCACCCAGTCTCCCAACCACCTTGTTCTCTGGCAACCATCACTTTCTATTGAGTCTGTTTTTATTTTGTTTGTTCATTTATATTTTGTTCTTTAGATTCTGCATATAAGTGTTCATTGCATTATTTACATTAACCAAGATATAGAAGCAACCCAAGTGCCCATCAATAGATAAGTGAATAAAAAGTCGTGGTGCATATACACAATGGAATATCACATGGCCATAAAAAAGAATGAACTCTGACCATTTGCAACGGCATGGATGGATTTAGCAGATACTATGCTAAGTAATATGTCAGACAGAGAAAGACAAATACCACATGATTTCACTTAAATGCAGAATCTAAAGAACAGAATAAAAGAACAAACAACAGAAACAGACTCAATTCAATCTTACTTATCTGTAAAATAAAGATACCTTTGTTAAGGGTTAGAAAATTAGAGAATGTGCTTTCTATTACTTCTTGTACAAGGTACATGGCCTGCAGCTGGTAAGTACTTAATATATTCCTGGAAAATGCTTATTGAATAATTTAGGCTACATGCTACTGATAAGAGATTACATACTATAATGAAAATCAGAAGATGACCGATTTGGTTCTTGCTCTCAGAATTGTTCTTAATATGACCCTGTTGGTTAACACATGCTTCAATTTTACTCTGGAAAAAATAGGATAACATTTTGTTCTTTCACATAAAATAAAAGAAGAGCTCTTGGAACTTTGGACTATGTGAATGCAACATAAATAATATGAACATTTATTTTATTGTTTATGATTATTTTATTAATGTACATAGACAATTCTGATGAAACCACTCCTCAGAATTGACTTTTAAAGTCTTAAATTATCTGGCTTAGCTCCCTTTGAGTGAAATTGATGAGCCTTTTATTTCTTATACCTATATTTATCTTTTGAGAGTAGAAATACAGTCTTTTCCACTAAGACTTTGATTTTAGTGGCACAAAGAGGTATCTTATTTTTCTTTAAATGTCTATTGACTAATGCGGCTTATTTGTTCAACTTGACATCCAAATGTAAACCTTATTTTGAAAGAAGTACAGGAATCCTGTCGCTGTTATTTTAAACACGCATTTGTGTTTCCTTTTGCAAAATCTGAGAGATTGTCTCTAGATAGCTCACAGTAAAAAGGTTTGGCACTCTTCCTGCTAAAGCAATTCTAACAGACAAAATAATTCATATTAATAAGTGGATTTACTAAATATCCAGAAAAAAGAATCAAGATAAATGAAACAATTCAAAAGTAAAATAACAAAGAAAGCATTGTCCTCTAAAAATTGTTTAGCTTTCCTCATGGGAAAGCTGAAAAAAACTTTAATAAAACTCTACAGTATTAATAATATTCTTAAAACATTCCCTTTTCTCCCCCCGCCCCTTTGACCAGAAATAAAACTAGAAAAAACTTTTCTCTCTTCTTCATTTTCAATTTGTTTGTAAACTTCTCCAAGCAAAAGCCTAATTAAGTCTTTCTGTCCAGTAGAGGCACGATTTCCCATTTCTTTGGCACTTGGAACAATTTTCCCATTATCTTCTTGAAGTTTTTGCCCAAACTAAAGGCTGTTTTTAAAACTTTCCCAGAGATATTTATCTTTTCAATTTCTTACAGTGTCTTGAAGATTAGGTGTAATTTTCCTTTAAAAAAAAAATCAAATCATGACTTGCTTACTTGATTAAGTTACTAAAAATGTAAATTACAGTAAATTACTTTTTCTCCAGTTGGGGGGCAGGGAGAGGTTAAAAAAGTAGCATATCAGGCTAACTAACGAGTCAACCAGGCTATTGTGGAATTACTTTATTCTCACACAAAAATAATGAAGCCTATTAAAATTATTGAATAAAGTATTCATCATAGGACCCCTCATTCCAAGCAACTCACAGCTTGCTCTCTTTACCATTTCCCTGGAGAACAGTTAATATGTAAGTAAATGCTTTTACACATAAGATGATATGAAACATATTATACAGGTAATTTTTAAATGTTACGATGAAATATGATAAATGTTTATCAATAAAATCTAGAGATGACTATGCAATTGCTGTCTGAGTAGTTTTGCATCTGCACACAAGCATTTTGCATCTTCTTATTAAGCATCCATCAGCCTACTATTGAGGACTTCAGCTGGTTTTTGAAGGCTAATTTTGCATTTTATTATAATGACATCAAGTATTTCAGTGAGTTCCAATCATACGACCTAATTATGCTGTTAAGAGAATTTAAAGAGCTTTTGGTGATATGTTGTTACCTGTAATTACATCAATTTCCTACTTTGGAGAAGTAGGAATAATCTTTGAAACAGGAGCTATTTCATATTTATGGGAGTTAACTGTTATAAAACTTACCTAAGGATTTGTTGTGTGTTCTCAATTTTATATTATCCATTTGCTGATAGCAACTCTATTACATATGTAAATTACATACTGACATAGGCATGCCTTATCTGAAATTTTTATACTAAGAAATAGAAATTGGAGATCATGGATAACATGGGTGGAATGTGAGATTATTAAACATTTTTCTACTTGTAAACATTTTTGTACTTATTTTTTATTTTAAGGGAAGTGTGCAATGTGCCATTTATTTATAATCTGAAGTTCCTTGGAGCAATCATTCACCAGAATTATGGTTCAAAAAGCAACAGAATTTCACTGCTACACCCCAGTGGGACACTCGATGATGTTCTTCTAAATTTAGTGCTTTCTAAATGTTAGCCTCAGGTCCCCTGAAGTAACATCTAAAAACAAATCCTTGGGTAGAGAGGAAATAGAACATTTTCTCAGTCTAGGGGTGAGTTAGAATTCAAAGTGTGGAAATACTTTATATTCTCAGAATAATTAAGTTATTTATGGCAGTTGAATTGATTTGATATTTTTAGGAAGAAGGAGGTTGGTAAATTGGGGGAGCATATTCACATACTGAATAAAGTTGGGTTTGTCATTTCCACCTAAGCCAGTATTTGTTATCTTCTAACTATTCCTCCTTTTCTAGACTTTTATAGAAAATAGCAAGTTCTTTGAGCAATATGAAGTGACATACCAGATCTTGAAACAGACAGCAGAGATGTACGTCAAAGCTGATGGTTCAGGTAAAACTCGTGACAGAATTTGTTTCAGTGTTGAATACAGGAAAATTTAGGAACTACAGATTTCTATATGAAAAAATACAAATTTCTATATGAAATCATTTTTTGTTCTCTTGTGGAATCTTTGTGTGATCATATCATTGGCCTAGAGAGCATACATTGGATTCAGCCCCACTGACTTTGTATAATGCCTAACCTGCATCATCATATGTGTGTGTGAGTGTGCGCGCGCACACGCATGTCTATGTGTGATCTAAGGGACAGCAAAATGAACATCCATTTTCTAAATTCCAATTTTCCAACCTATTTTCAATTCTGAGGATTAATAGCAAAAAAATGGACTAACTTGAATATTTAATAAAGTAAATGAAAACTTAAGTTTGTGTAAAGACCTAAGTTGTAAAATATTCTTGTTTCAACTTGTAAACATGTCATATTTGCTGAAAATGAACTATAGCATTTGTGATTGATACTATATGTGTGTCTATCTATTTGAGTGCATATAAAATGTGAACAAATATATGTGTCACTTACTGCATCCCATTTATTAAGAATTTTAAATATATTATCATCTTTAATCTTTGAATAAGATATTTTCAGCAATACCTGAATGATATTCTAAAGAATTATAACATACCAGTGGTGTAACAGACTCTAGAAAAAAGATATGGTAGATTTAAAATATAAAATAAAGATTGTGCCCTAGCCAGTTTGGCTTAGTGCATAGAGCATCAGCCTGCGGACCAAAGGGTCCTGGGTTCGATTCCGCTCCAGGGCAGGTACCTCGGTTGCAGTCTCCTCCCCGGCCTGGGCCCTGGTCAGGGCATATGCAGGAGGCAACCAATCGATGTCTTTCTCTCAAGACATCTTTCACTCTGTCTAAAATTCAATGGAAAATAGCCTCAGGTGAGGATTAAAAAATAATAATAGAATAAAGATTGCCGTGTGTTTTATCTGTGTCAGTGGAAGAAGCCGAGAATGTGATGAAATTCATGAATGAAACCACTGCGCAGTGGAGGAACCTGTCGGTGGAAGTCCGCAGCGTGCGGAGCATGCTGGAGGAAGTCATCGCCAACTGGGATCGCTATGGCGACACCGTGGCTGGGCTGCAGGCCTGGCTAGAGGATGCCGAAAAAATGCTAAGTCAATCGGAGCTTGCCAAAAAGGTGAGGCTGCTTCTGACAAGAGGAGAAGGGCATGCATAAATTTAAAAATAAAGATTACAATATATTTACTCAATAATCCCGACTTTGCCTGAAAAGTTGCACATTCAGGGTAGTAAAGTATTGTATACTAAGAAACGCGCCACTTTATAAAAGTTATGTTAGAACAGTTCCCTGTCTGACAGTTCAGTGTTTGATTTTGCATTCAGAAGAGCAAGAACTGATGGGGGAAAGGCAAGCCCAGTGGGCAGCAGAGGGCGCTGTACTCACAAGGTCTGCACCTGAGAGGCCATATCCAGGGCAGTGCCCTGTGGATTTCCAAATTTGAGATTAAAACATAGCACTGGATCTGTGGGATGGCATCCGCGGTTAACAGATGGGTCACTGCATTTTTTTGTCTCTTTGGTTATTCTTTTTCAGATCTTATTAACCCTCCGTCCAGGGTCTCATTCTCAGCAGGCATGATTGCCCTCCTCCATTTACAGGTGTACATGTGCATATGCAAAAATTACTGTTTTATTTTAATGTCTCTTACATTTGAAAATAACATGAAATAGACTGATTTCTATATATACAGGGGTGGGCAACAGTCAGTTTATATTTGTGAGTATGTGAAACAGACTTCATTCTTGTATTTTATTTTTTGATTATTATATTATTTATTTGTAGTATCTGTCTTCTTATTGTTGCTATTAATTCATATCCTTACTTATGATTTATCTTTTAGGTAATTATGGATGGTAATATAAACCTACTTTTTCCCACCCCTGTATATACTTTTTAATGGGAGCCAGACATTTCCCACGGAAAAATCAATTTACATGTATAAGAAGTTAAAATGCCAGACTCCATTAAGAAATATAGTACATATGTTAGAATTAACTGCTTGCCGTCCAAGATTGGTTCATCTATCATTGTGTTATACAAGTAGAAGTATCATTTTAAAAATGTTTTACCATTTCATATTTCATTTAGGTTACATATTCTTGTGTGGCTGATGGTGACAGAAACGATATAGCTATACAGATTTTGGCTTTTCTGATTAGACCACAGTGCCCGAGTAGATGTCATATGTGTTAATTTTATCCAAGGAAACATAACTGCCAGAAACAGAACTGTTCTCGTCTATTTATGGAGGAAGAACTCCCACACAGAGCTTATGAAATGGATTTTGAATTATCTTTTGTTTCCCTGCTTTCACTGTGGTGTGTGTGTGTACATACACTGGCACATACACGCTTAACTTGAAATCAGGTGGAAACTACTTCATTGTCAACTGTGTAACGTTAAACAGATGAGGGAGGATGTTATTGTATTCAATTGTATTCAGTGTTCCTGGCCCAGATATTTAATTTTTAAATTTCCTTTGATGGTTTAGCTCCATGATTAGTAATTATCTTGATGATCTACTGTATCCAGATTTTAAAACCAAAAGTAACAGGTCAAAAGTTTGTTTACAATTTTTTTTGAGGAAGTCAAGCAAGTATGTCTTTCCAATCTATATTTCCCTACAATAGTATCTCTTTGTTGTTGTTTGTTAATCCTCACCCGAGGATATTTTTTTCCATTGATTTTTAGAAGGAGTGGAAGGGAGGGGGAGGGACAGAGAGAGAATCTATGTGATTAGAAGGAGTGGAAGGGAGGGGGAGAGACAGAGAGAGAAACATCTATGTGAGAGAGACACATCAATTGGTTGCCTCCCCTCATGTGCCCCAACCAAGGCCAGGGATCAAGCCTGCAACCTAGGTACATGCCCTTGACTAGAATCGAACCCAGAACCCTTCAGTCCAAAGGCCGACACTCTATCCACTGAGCCAAACCGGCTAGGGCAATAGTATCTTTTATATGACTCTGACACTGACATTTACTCACTGGTAGACAATGTATAAGTCCTTTTTGCTCACAGAAATGCCACTTTTCATCTGAAAAATAGCAATAACAGAAATGGTCACATTTTGTTTTGTCTTCAGCAAAAGATATGGCATAGATGTGTTTTATAGAAATACACTCAGCATTTCTAGTTCACACTTTTGAAACTCTTTATTAAATAGTTGCATTTTGAGAGTTAGGATTTACCTTAAAATGTACAAATTTTCAAACAAAGATATTTCTCTTAGTTTGGTCATTATCATATTCTTTATTAAATTTGGAGTATGGTTTACAATAGGATGCATTGTTTATTGTCTAGGACTTTTTTCGAAATTTGCCTCATTGGATACAGCAACACTCTGCCATGAACGATGCTGGCAATTTTCTCATTGAAACGTGTGACGAGGTGGTTTCCCGTGACCTTAAACAGCAGTTATTATTGCTCAATGGGCGTTGGAGGGAGTTGTTCATGGAAGTCAAGCAAGTATGTCTTTCCAATCTATATATGCCTGAAACATGTATGTGTTATAAATGTTGCATTGAATAGTTTTAGAGACTATTTGTTAGTCTCTAATAACATAGGCTTATTAAAGCCAAGTCCAGATGTGTCTAGATCTGTTATATTTATCCTTGGTCCTTTATTCTTCCCCCTGAATAACAGAGGGACATAACAGAAATGTAGAGTTTGAGTAATGATTATACTGCCATATGGGACCTATGCATATGGAACGATTCATGTTTCAAATTATAATTCTTCACTTCTGTGCTACTTCCTTTCTTTTCTTTTTTTTTTTTAACTTTCACGGTCATTGGGCTTCAAGTGTATCTAACATAAGAGTCAGGAATGAGAGTCTTTCTTACCATGTAAGGGTTGCAGAGAGTACATGGAAGTGAAGGTCAGACATCCAATCCCGGCTTCATGATTGTCAGTGACGTCCCCTCCCTTTCCTTAACAGTATGCGCGAGCTGATGAGGTGGACAGGATGAAGAGGGAATACACAGACGGTGTCACTGCCCTGTCTGACTTTGCAACTGAAGCCCACAGGAAGCTTTCTGAACCCTTGGAAGTCTCTTTTATTAACGTCAAGTTATTAATTCAAGACCTGGAGGTGAGGGGGCTCTCTGGACCATAAAGTGAAAAACCTCGTCGACTGTGAAAATCAAGATCAGTGAACTTGCTCAAATCATTGCAAAGCTTTTTCTGTGTCTCTTTTGATATGTGTGTGTATTTTCATTGGTACCTCCAAAAATATTTTTAAATTGTGTTTTTAAAAAACTATTTGAATTTTTAAAGGTGTATTTGGGCCATAAAGTAACTTCAAAATAATTTTTTAAGTAGGAGATTATTTTTTCTTCAACCAAATTATAAAGCACTAGAGGAAAACAGGAGTCTGTAGATGGCACCTCTGCATAAAAATCTCCAGCAGTAACATTATAAAATGGATGGTGCTATTTAAGTAGTTTGAATACCCCACAGCCCTCAAAATGAAGTAATGGAAGGATAGTTAATGACATGAAAAACTTTTCCAATACACTATTAAGTGAGAAAAGTAGCAAATAGCATCATCTCTTTTTTTTGGTAAAAATTAAAAATGGGTGTAAACACACACAGGAAGCAACATTAATGATGTAATGATGGGTTGATGGCACTGGTGATCACTTTGTGGGACTTTAACTTAAATTTCCTTTATCCTAATTTATCTCTATTTAATACATTTCCTGCAATGACAATGTGTTATTTTTTAAAGAAAAAAAATTTAATTTCTAAACTTAGAGCAATTGCCCCAAAGTGTTCACATACATTTACCTGATATAATGTTTACATACTACATTAGCACATATGTTGAAAGTGTGAAGATTACTTCAGCATATGTCAACTAAGGATTTCTGCTTAGTTTTTTTTTAATTTCTTTATTGATTAAGGTATTACATATGTGTCCTTATCCCCCCTTGCTCATGCCCTCATCCCCCTGTTGTCTGTGTCCATTGGTTAGGCTTATATGCATGCATACAAGTCCTTTGGTTGATCTCTCCCCCTTACCCCCACCCTCCCCTACCTTCCCTCTGAGGTTTGACAGTCTGATCGATGCTTCTCTGTCTCTGGATCTGTTTTTGTTCATCAGTTTAGTGGTTTTTTTTAAAGCTTTTACTTAGCTATATGATATTACCAACATATAATATATTAGTAATGAAGGAAAGCAATAACTGGAATCTCCAAAGGTTTATGAGCATAAGTATAGAATGTTCCGAAGAACATATTGACTTTTGTGCAGCCTTCTGCAGAATCCTGAAATGAAAAGGTGCTAACTTCGCTGTTCACTGATTCCTGCAGGACATTGAGCAGAGGATACCTGTGATGGATGCTCAGTACAAGATCCTCACAAAGACAGCGCACCTCGTTACCAAAGAGAGCTCCCAAGAGGAAGCTAAGGAAATGTTTGCGACCATGTCTGGGCTCAAAGAGCAGCTGACCAAGGTGGGGGAATACTTTATGCAAGTTACCCTCTGGGACCAACTCTGCCTCCTGCGCGCCCAACCTCCTCTGTCACCGAGGGCAAATCCTTTACTTGTTAACAAATCATGCTTTTGTTTCTCTTTGTGATTTAGTAACTTTGTCATCTAGTAACTCTGTCATGAGTTTTAAAAATGAAACTCTGGGGCTGATACCAGCTATTCCCTCTGTTGACTTAGAAGCATTCGTAGCTGTATTTTAATAGAAAGATAAGCCTCTTCAGGGCAAGAGGAGACCAACAAAATAGGATTAAACAAAAGGGGGAGAAGTAGAGGAGGAGGAAAGAAGAGGAAGGGATCAGATATTTAAATGAGAAAGAATTCCAAAATGGCCCCTTTTTTGATCATTTATTTGATGTGCCTTTACTCTAAGAGTACTTATGCTGTTTTCTTCCTGGGCGATTGAGAGACATTTGACAAGAAAACTCTGTGGCATTTACGTGTGTCACTGGTTTAGTAATATTGTCTTATATATAAAAATTGAACAACGCATAGAAACTACCATGAAACAAATGCCTGTGGTGATCTGTAAGCACAGAATGACCACATCACTAGAGAAAATGTTCCTGAGAGCCATGACCCGTGCCCTCCGCTTGTGGCGCTTCATGTCTTTTAACAGAATCTTTGTCTTTGTGCTTTTAAAGGTCAAAGAACGTTACTCCCCACTCCTGTATGAGTCTCAGCAGCTGTCAGTTCTGCTGGAGGAATTAGAGAAGCAGATGACGCTCTTCTATGACTCACTTGGGAAAATCAGTGAGATTATAACAGTGCTTGAGCACGAGGCGCAGTCTAGTGCTCTTTTTAAACAAAAACACCAGGTAAGAAAACGTCCCTTTCGGGAGACACGGTTATTTTTAAAGCATGTGTAGTAAAATTGAGGTAGTGCTTATTTATAGACATTCTATAACCAGGCTAGCACATAATGCATACTCTGTAACTGGTAGCAATTATTATTGTTGTTATTATTAATTACAGAGAGACAATGATTACACTGCCAAACCCTATTCTAATGAGTTCTCATCATATTGAATAAAGATGATTTTCTATTTTGAGCCATAGTGCCATTTCTTACATTCTCAAATTGCTATAAATTGGCATCAAAGAATCCTTCCACAATTAAAATGCTTACTGTTGAGTAATAATGATATTTAATAATACCTCTCTAAATGTTACCTCCTAAATCTTCAAAAAACCAAAAACGTGTCCTTATTCTGTTTTGCCAAAGCAAAACCAAAATTCTGCTCTAGATATTTGAATCTAGATTACCAAAGCATGTATCCAAATTAGCCATTTGAAATATTTTTCCAAAGCAATTGAGGATGTTGAAATGCAAATGGATTCAAGTCAAAAAAATGACTGTCGGCCTGGGACTGGACTGGACCATCCCCATGCTGTCTGCTGCAGAAATCACTGGTGCCAGGGCGCGGGGCAGAGGCGGAGGGCCTGTGCCACATCGCTTCTCGTCCTGTCAATGTGTGTCCATTGCGAGTCCTCCCACGCCCACTGGTTGGCTGCCGCTGTGGTTAGGATCTGGGGACCAGCATTTTATCAATGAGGTGGTTAGCTTGTGAACCTTAGAATTCAAAAGGGGTCCACACAATTTACACAAATAATACACAATCTGCGTCTGACTCAGTCAAGTAGGATGTGCATGGTGCTAACTTCATTTAGTCAGACTCTACCCTGCTCTGTAGGTTGATCTCATTATTGTTTGCTCAGTACACCATAAGCCTGTTATTTGGTTGGAGAAATGCAGGTACTGGGCAAATAATTTTTGATGCTCTCACTTTCTCCTAATGTTAATAAGATGGACTTGAATATTTTTTTAAAATCTCAAATAAAACGTAAAAAGCCCAGATTTCAGTGATTGCTTAACATTCTGGGGGGGGGGGGAAAATAACCTCTCTGTGCTTTTGATTTCATTTATTGCTGGTGAAAAAAGCCTAAAGCTGTATCATACTGTTCTCACTATTTTGTAATGATTCCTCTCTTTCCTTCTCTTTCTCGCCCTTTTACGTTCTATTGCTGTGGGTTTCCTTTCCTCCTAGGAGCTGCTAGCTTGCCAGGAAAGCTGTAAGAAGGCCATGGCACACATTGAGAAAGGCAGTCAGAGTGTTCAGAAGTTTGTGACCTTGAGCCACGTGCTGAAGCATTTTGATCAGACGAAGCTGCAGAGAAAGACTGCCGAAGTCCACGTGGCCTTCCAGGTGAGTTCTCTTCCCGCTGGGAATGTGAGCGGGGGACAGTGCCAGCAATAAGGACACAGAGCCATCATGGGTCATGCCTTCACTCTTGCTAAATGCCTCACCCACTGGTGTTTGGTAACCAACATTTCACTTATATTGACATAATATTAACATCCATTAATATTAAAAGGGGTTAATTCTTATTATAATGAAATGTATTCCTTCCAAGTGGTTTTTAAAGAAACAATGTTCCTTAACAAGGTGATACTTTAATGAGAAAGCATCCCATTATGATTATTTTTCTAAATCAAGAATATGGTCAAGAAAACTGGAGACTGGAAGAAACATGTGGAAACCAACAGCCGCCTGATGAAGAAGTTTGAGGAGTCGCGGGCGGAGCTGGAGAAGGTGCTGCGGGTGGCGCAGGAGGGCCTGGAGGAGAAGGGGGACCCGGAAGAGCTCCTGCGGAGACACACCGTGAGTGCATCCCTGTCACTGTGCAATCCGGGGTCAGGATCTCCCCCTGGCCTTCCAGAATGTTCCGCCAAATCTGAAAACTGAAAATATTTTTTTTCTAAAAATTATAAAGTACGTGTTGAATGTTGGATGTGGGTGGCTTCTGAGTCATAACTCTAGATGATTATAGTTCATTCCTGAGAAAAACACACACAAAAACAAGAGCAGTTGCTGGGAAGGTTTGGCGAGGGCAGCAGCTGGCTTGTGGCTTGCTCAGAGGGGTGGCTGCTTCTCTATGCTTCTCTTCCAATGTGGCCCTTTATTTCCCCCGCCCACCACCACCCCCCCACACACACACCCTCTCCCTCTCCGTGGCAGGAGTTCTACGGTCAGCTGGACCAGAGGGTGCTCAACGCCTTCCTGAAAGCCTGCGACGACCTCACAGACATCCTGCCTGAGCAGGAGCAGGCGGGCCTGCAGGAGGCGGTGAGGAAGCTGCACAAGCAGTGGAAGGTGAGCGGGCACAGGAAGGGGGCCTGGTGTCATTGCGGACGGAGGGAAGGGCAGGAGGGCATTAGGTTGACTGTACGAGAAATTTAGAAATTCAGGAAACTACTTTTCCCATTAAAATAAATGAACTAGAATGGAGCACGGTGAAAATCATAGAATTTCGTTATTCCTATCTTTCAGTAACAGCAATTTGTGATCAGAGGGTACTCATGATGTCACTTGGCCCTAAAGGGGTTTTGTCACTGCAATTGGAAATGTACAGAGTCAGTGACGGTATCGTATTCTTCCAAATCTTTCTGTGCAATGTAGGATCTTCAAGGAGAAGCCCCATATCATTTGCTCCATCTGAAGATCAAGGTGGAGGAGAATAAATTCTTGGCCTGTGTGGAAGAATGCAGAGCTGAGCTGGCCCGGGAGACTAAGCTGGTGCCCCAGGAAGGCAGTGAAAAGATGATTAAAGAGCACAGGGTGCGTCACGCACCCCCGAGTGCAGTCACACAGTCACATGGTCACTTAAAGGACATGACTGATGCTTTGGGTTGGGTCTGGAAACACCGAATGGTTTAATTCCTTTACACTGAGAGTCTAATGGAATCTTCCTTTTTGTGCGTGTGTGCGTGCCTGTGTGCGTGTGTGTGCGCGTGTGTGCATGTGTGTGTGTGTGTGTGTGTGTGTGTGTGTGTGTGTGTGTGTGTGTGTGTGTGTGTGTGTGTGTGTGTGTGTGTGTGTGTGTGTGTGTGTAAAGATAAACCTATTGGATGGCTCCTCACGGGGATTCTATAAATGTTTCATGCCCATTAGATCTTCTTCAGTGACAAAGGGCCGCATCACCTCTGCGAGAAAAGGCTGCAGCTCATTGAGGAGCTGTGTCTGAAGCTCCCAGGCCGGGACCCAGTAAGGGACACGCCTGGAGCCTGTCAGGCGACGCTCAAGGAGCTCAGGGCTGCCATCGAGAGCACCTACACGCAGCTGGCGGAGGACCCCGACAAGTGGAAGGACTACACCAGCAGGTAGCCTTGGCATTGTTCCCAGGCAAGGACATCGTCTATTTTAGTTGTGTTAATTCATAGACTTTTACAAAACAAGAAATGACATATGGTCCAGCCTATGCAATGAAGAAAATCAGATTGTATGGCGTTGCCCAGGTTCTTATGTAAAAAGGCTTCATTCAATAAAAAGAGCAGGTTTCATTCAGAAAAGGTGAAGCACTTCATTTTCAAATGACTCTTTCTCTCTCTTTTTTCTTCCTGATTTCAGAGAAGAAGGAAGAAGGAGAGAGAGATAGAAACATCAATGATAAGAGAAAAATCAGCTGCCTTCTGCACACCCCCCAGTGGGGATTGAGCCCGCAACCTGGGCATGTGCCCTCACTGGTAATCGAACCCTGACCTCCTGGTTCATAGGTTGATGCTCAACCACTGAGCCATGCTGGCCGGGCAGGTGTGATCTGCTTGAGGCAGCATTGGTTCATGTCTTTCTCTGGGATTGCCACATGTCCCCGAAGGGGGACTTCTGATTCTTCAGGGTTATGTCTCACTCTAGTGGGGACATGTGAGGTTCTGTCCTCGTTCCCAGGTGCCCAGGCCGGGGACAGACACAGCTCTTTCCTCAGCTGAGCTCCGCCTGCTCCACCTGTTCTTCCCCCGAGTGCCTGGGCACAGAGGTGGCCACGCCTGCCCAGAGCTTCATGTTTCTTTAAGGAACAGTTTCCAGGAAATCTAATAATCAATTTGCTGATCACTTGAGTGTCGAATTTCCATGAATGAATTCAAACTAGAGAATGTAGTGGCTCAGTGGTTGAGTGTCGACCTATCCACCAAGAGGTCAGGGTTCGATTCCCAGTTGGAGCACATGCCCGGGTTGTAGGCTCGAGTCCCAGTGTGGAATGTGCAGGAAGCAGCCGATCCATGATTCTCTCTCATTATTGATGTTTCTATCTCTCCCTCTGCCTTCCTCTATGAAATCAATAAAAAAAATATATATTTTTAAACATGTATTCTAACCATCCTGAAGTGTTCTCCCTTTAATGAGATAATGCCTGTGTCATTTCAGAATTTCCGAGTTCTCATCTTGGATCGCTGCAAAGGAGACACAGCTGAAGGGGATTAAGAAGGAGGCCATCGATACCGCCAACCATGGAGAGGTGAAGCGGGCGGTTGAGGTAAGTCCTGGGACACTATTTGTCACTGGAAAATTTCCACTAATAAAAAAAGTGATAGACAATCTAACTGGTGTCTTTCTTACTTTCTATAAAAGATTATGTTCCTGAAAACTAACTCAAAAATAAGTGCCCTTGTGTTACTGTGAGAACTATAGGGAGTTTTTCTCTGGAACCATTGTTGGCTTTGAGATGTAGTCATGCTCAGTGGTGCCTTTAAGGCATCTCTCGCTAATGGGGAGTCCTGGGGGGAAAGTGCATGCGTGGGTGTATAACACAGCAGAGGATGAAGAACTGCCACGGGGAACAAGAACACTGTCAGCTTTTTATACAATGCATTCAGGAGCCAGGTCACAGGAAATGAGGGGTTTGGACAAAGTCAATGCTATGTCACATTCAGCCTGGATGGGGACAGCCTCAGACCCAGCCATGACAGAGCCTCAGGTCTCAACTAGTTTGCATCCTCTGTATGGTACACAGCAACCCCCTCCCTCTTAGCTTGGCTCTAAATATCACAGACACACGCTATTGTGAATATTCTTTCTCTTTCAGTGGTTTGAACCCTTGCAAGTCACGTAGTTGCCGTTAATGAGAATATATTTTCTTTCTGTTTTCTCTAAGCTTCATTTTTTATATCAAAATTATAATCCCCTTAAATGCTAGAGGTGCTCAATAATATCATGCTCTACCAACGGAAGGATTTACAGGGGTGGGTAAAAATAGGTTTTCAGTTGTTCCTATGGGTAAAGACACTCAGGTGGTGATTATTACAATAGTATCACTAACTCTGTGTTTTGTGTACTCACAGCTATTAACCCACCTTTTTCCCACCATATATTACTATTGGTTGCCATTATGGTACAAAAATAATTCTCACTGTAGAATGAAAAGATCACTTGTTTCTGGAACCAACCATTTTCTGGCTGGTGTGCATTTGCCCGTAAGGCCCTCTGGAGCAAAACATGTGGTTGGAGACGACTCTGCCCTCGCACTGCCCGGAGAGGATGGAGGAGGGAGAGGCTGCCTGAACCCCTTTCCCTGGGTCCCCTTCCCTCCAAGGGGCGAAGCCCGAGTCTTTCTGGCGTTGTCTTGGCCCATAAGCCTTCCTTTCCTGGATTAGAGTCATGATCCGGCTTGTGTATCTTACTATCTAAGCTATGGACTTCTAAAGGCTAACAAAAACAAGGCATAAAATATGACTTAATGAAGTTAAAATAAATCTTTAAGTTATCTATAATAGTATTCAGTAAGTGACCTCTTCAATAAAAGGATCAGCTAACTAAAATAAAGATTCCTTTTTTTTCTTTTCTTCGAAAAATACCACGTTCTTTCCAGCTTACAGAAAGCAAGATGACAAAGTATATTATATACTGTAATTCCCAATTTTGGTATCAGATAGTCTTCTACAGTACTTTTAGAAGGGTCCTTGTTGGGATCCAGGGAATCTGTAAATATCTAACCATGTAATCATGAAGGTAACCTTTGGTTTAGAGAGTACTGTCTTTACACATGAGGTATTGGCTTTGGAGAAACAGTTCCTTCTCGTACTTGTAGCCTTTTGTGAAAGATCTGAACAAAGTGAAATGAGCAGGCACTCCATTGGGGAATGAATGACTGGCATTCCTACCGGCCCCTTCTATACCTTCTTAGGTGGGACCCTTTCTTGCTGGAAAGTAATGATGCACAATTGTATTTTGTTCATCAAAGTGTTCTTTCATTCCAGGAGATAAGAAATGGTGTTACCCAAAAAGGCGAGACTCTCAGCTGGCTGAAATCCAGGCTTCAAGTTTTGATTGAAGTTTCTTCTGAGAAAGAAGCCCAGAAGCAGGGCGATGAGCTGGCGAAAGTATCTAGTTCCTTCAAAGCTCTCACAGCTTTATTGTCAGAGGTATATCATTTATTCACACTCTACACAGTTCTGGGCGAGGAATCTGGAAGGTTCTTCCTCTTCTGGTTGTAGTTTAACAAGCAAGTTTATAAGGAAATCTTAGTTGAAATAGAATAGTTTATACTTATTTATATAAATACTGATAGAAAAGATGGGTAGGATGTTTGAGGTATGGTCTGTGCCATTGTCAGATATATTATCAGACAAATATTAGTTCAGATTAATGATCTATAGTTGAAATACAAATCTTATCAGTTCCATAATTTTTTTTAACTTTTAATAAGAGCATTATTTCATAGTCAGTTTAAGGAACAGCATGGAAGTTAAGAACTCAGGCTTGAGAGTCAAGCAAACTCAGAGTTAGTGTTTAACTCCGGTACCACATTACATATGTAACCTTGAGCTTGTCATTTAATATCTCTGGGACCTTATTTTTCTTACTTGTAAAACAGGGCAAAAAATATGCCAAAAGGTAATTTCAAGAGTTGAATGCAATAATGTATTCACAGCACTTAATACAGTGTCAGAACAGAATACATGCTCATAACTGATGCCTGGCAGTAATGAACTACTCAGTGTTTAGTCTGCGGCCCCGTAAGATCTTTTAGATAAAATCTACTCATTTTAAACTTCTTGGTATACAGTTCAATGTTTATATTCCTTTATAGATTAGAATATACAAATCCATCTGCTTCATTTCTGATAGGGCTACTTCCACCCTCTGCTAGAATATTTTTACTCACCAGGTGGTCGTACAAGTCTAATGGGTTTGTGCATGGAAAGTAATGTAAGAATGTAGAGTAGAATAGATAGTTATCAGTATTTTTCTTGAAATCACTAATAAACTTGCACGAAATAATGATCAACTGAGTGGCTACAAAGTGCTGTGATTCTGAAGATCTGGAATTCTTCCTAGCAATCTCTAATGTAACAGTTGGCCAGTTAACTTCTTATACTTTTAATCCGTGTGGATCTGCTTAAGACTCTAGTAGTGAATTTGCATAAATCAAAAATACTCTGAACTGCTTGTGATTTGAGTTTTATGTGATCATTTTGATATGTAACATATAGTGTTCTTAAGAATTTTTTGATAAATTGAAAACAGCAATAGGACTAATCAAATTTTGGAACATAAGCCATTCAAAACCTTTGATGGCCCATCTTTCATAGCAGAAGACAAAGCTGAAAATTGAAGAAAATGACAAGGAAAAGAATCCACTAAGGAACCACAAAAATCAGAAATTATATTGATGCTTTGCCTGAAATATTGGAAGTGCATTTTTAACAAATACCCTTTTTTTTCCTCTTTGTCCACTATACAAAATTTTCCTTACTTTAAATAGGATACGCTAAACTTTTTTACACCACAAGTTTTTTTTAATGGTTTTATTTTAGTTATAAGATTGAAATGAAAGGGATCCAGGAGACAATATATACAATATGTGCAGTTGTATTGCCCTGCCTTGATTTTGAGGCTGAGCAGGTTTTTAATATGCCACACAGCACCATATCAAATGATCCTTGCAACTCCCATAAGTGACTATGCAGTTAATAATAATAAAGAAGCTTTAAAACATTTGAAAGAATAAAGATTAGGGATCTGCGCATATATTTCAAGTTGTTGAGAAAGACTTTACACATATTCTTTAAAAAATTAAGATTACATGAGCATACGATTTACAATATTTTCATGAATATCTAGGTTGAAAAGATGTTAAGCAGTTTCGGGGACTGTGTCCAGTACAAAGAAATCGTCAAGAGTTCCCTCAAAGAGTTAATTTCTGGTTCCAAGGAAGTCCAGGAGCAAGCGGAGGAGATCTTGGACACGGAAAACCTGTTTGAAGCGCAGCAGCTACTTCTTCATCACCAGGTAGAATGGCCCTTCTCCCAGTGCATTTGTGCAACATTGGTAGCTGATTACTGATACCAGAGAGAGGAGTAGCACGGAACCGGGGTGAGGGCAAAGGGAAGGGGAGGGGTGGGCAGGAAGGAAAGGAACCCAGCTGAATGATTAAAGGGAAGCACTTTTGGTCTCTCTCTTAAATATAAAATATTTCAAAGATTCTGCAAGACAAATTCTCAGCCTGAATGGTTTGAGGACATCAAAAAATTCAAAACATATTGTGAAGGGAAAGTTGGTTTTGCTATAAAAACCTTTATACAACTTGCAAATTGTTTTGTAACAGAGATGGGAAGCATGGAGATAATTGGTTCCTATTTGAGATCAACATTCTTTTGTCATCACATAAAAAATCTCACTTTTCAATTTATAATTCTGAATACATCTTAGTTTGAGAAAGTATGACTTACATGGAGTACCAGATCTTTCTGGAGAGTGTGCTTTATAGGGGTAGAACTGGAGTAAAGACATTCTGGTATATCTATATACAGTGGGGCCTTGACTTACGAGTTTAATTCATTCCGTGACGGAGCTCGTAACTCAAATTACTCGTATGTCAAATCAATTGTGAACGAGTGAGTCACGTGATGCTGGGCTGATGTTGTGGCGTTCACTGTGACGTTCGCTGCGCCAACTAGCGGTGGGGTATCTGAAGCTGGCTGGTAACCCGAATTTTAGCTCGCAACTCAAAGCAAAAAATCATCCGAGAGACGGCTCGTATCTCGAAAAACTCATTAGTCGGGACACTCGTAAGTCAAGGCCCCACTGTATATATAAAAGCTTAAGTGACCGTTCGTTCCACCGTTCGACCATTCAACCAGTAGCTATGACGTGCACTGACCACCAGGGGAAAGATGCTCAATAAACAGGCATGAAAACATGGAACACACTGATGAATCTCAGAGGGAAGGGGGGAGGGGGAGGGCAGGAGGAGATTAACCAAAGATCTTATATGCATACTAGAGGCCCTGTGCATGGATTCATGCACCGGTGGGGTCCCTCGGCCTGGCCTGTGGGGATCAGGCTGAATCCATGCACAAATGCTCTGACATCCCCCAAGGGGTCCCGGATTGTGAGAGGGTGCAGGCCAGGCTGAGGGACCCCACTGGTGCATGATTCTGTGCACCGGGCCTCTAGTATATTGATAATCTGCAATTTTAATCAATGTCACTTGTCAAACTCAATATAAGTGGAAGTATAATTCAAGTAAAATATTTAATGGCAAAATTCTAGCTAACTGCCCTACCCAGTTTGGCTTAGTGGATAGAGCATTGGCCTGTGGACTGAAGGGTCCCAGGTTCGATTCTGGCCAAGGGCACATGCCAGGGTTGTGGGCTCGATCCCCAGTAGGGGGTGTGTAGGAGGCAGCCGATCAATGATTCTCTCTCATCATTGATGTTTTTATCTCTCTCTCCCTCTTCCTTCCTCTCTGAAATCAATAAAGAAATATATTTTTTAAAATTCTAGCTAACTTAATGTACAGCAAATGGTAGCTAATTATATATATGTAGTATATAAAAATTAAAATTACACTAAAAGTATATGTAAAATGGCAGCTTTTAGGCTTTATGGATATATTTAATAATTATAAAAAACTGTGAGTACAGAAAAGTTCATGCTTGGTAGTAACATTGTTCTCAATTATTGTAAAAGTTGTGTTTGGGTTTCAATTTAAGTCAGAGAAATATGAAATTGTAAATATTTACATTAATTTTTTAAAACTTCCCATTTCTTGGGTCAGGTGCTTGGTTATATGTGTGTTTATTTGTGAAAATTAATGAGCCGTACACTTGAGATTTGCCTACCATTCTGTGTGTACATTATAATTCAATAAAAAGTTTATTTTAAAACATGACTTCCCCCAGATTTCTCAGCAGATCAATCATCCTGAATATGCGTAGGAATTACATTTCTTAATATTAGCATTTCTTAGAGCATAAATCATTTTTAAAAATGGACTTAGGACTTCATGTGTTTAAGCAGAAAATAATTATTTTAGGAGAATCATGGCAAATGAATAGCTTTGCCAGATTCCTTCTGGAGTATTGCACAGAATGCTAAATGTTGTCTGAATTTGCACGTAATCAAAACACCAAGACCAAATGATGTCGTTTACCATTGCAAACACAAAATATTTATAAATAATGTCCATCTTTGAGTAATGCACAGTCTTCATTGCCGTTTTCACTGTTCATGTTGACTTTAAATAGAGTTTGGGTCCAAGCCCCATGAGGTCCTAACATTTAGTATCTCCCCTAATGCTTGGGCGCTATGTCCCTGCCTAGTCACTTAGAGTAACATGTATGTCCACCCTTGAACAAATGCTTCCAGCAAAAGACAAAGAGAATCTCTGCAAAGAAGAGGGACGTGCAGCAGCAGATGACGCAGGCCGGGCAGGGAGAAGGCGGGCTGCCTGGCCCGGTGCAGGAGGAGCTGCGGAAGCTGGAGAGCACCCTGGACGGCCTGGAGCGCAGCAGGGAGAGGCAAGAGCGCCGCATCCAGGTAGGAGCCCGGAGTCCAGGGCTGGGCAACTCCCGGTCACAGGTTACATCTCCTGTTGGAAGAAGATGCTTGTTTCCACTCCTGATGCTCCCACATTGTGTTAGCTATTTACCGATTTAAGCACCACGCCAGCCTTATGCGATGAGTGATATAATTAGCACATTTTGCAAGTGTGGATGCTTAGAAAGGAAAGAGTTTGAGCACCTGACTCAAAGTCACAAAGCAGCGATCCACACTAAGCCAGGATTTTAATTCACACTTGTCTGAATCTAGAAATTGACACGGAATTATTTCTCATTTCTGCAGTCCAGCAGCCACAAGGTTATACTTTATTGTGATCTTGGCACATTACCTGAAATAAAGTTTTTGAATTTTGCCACCTGCTCACTGCAGACTCCCTCTGTCCCTTCTCTCTTCCATTCTCCCCTTCTTTCTCCATTGCTCCTTCTTTCTTTCTTTCTTTCTTTCTTTCTTTCTTTCTTTCTTTCTTTCTTTCATCTTTCTTTCGTTCTTTCGTTCTTTCTTTCTAGAATCTGGGAGACCCTTTGTCCTTCTTTCTTTCTTTCTTTCTTTTCTTCCTTTCTTCCTTCCTTCCTTCCTTCCTTCCTTCCTTCCTTCCTTCCTTCCTTTCTTTCTTTCTTTCTTTCTTTTTTTCTTTCTTTCTTTCTTTCTTTCTTTCATCTTTCTTTCGTTCTTTCGTTCTTTCTTTCTAGAATCTGGGAGACTTTCTTTTCCTTTGTCCTTTATCTACATTTTAAGTAATATCCCTAGATGCATAGGACATTACAGCTGGTAGAAAATTCAGAGTCCTCGTCCACACACACTCTTGTTGTAGATGAACTAAGACTCAAAAGGGAAATTCTTTGTGGAAGCCATTAGGATTGTCTTTATTGAGTATAATGTGTGAAATTTGAACAGAGTCAACAAGAAGTTGGCAGCCTGATAAAGAATAGAAATGTGAACAATATTTTGTGACATACTCTGATAGTTCATAACATTATATGTTGTTTATTTTTTCAAATGTAGGTCACATTAAGAAAATGGGAGCGATTTGAAACCAACAAAGAGACAGTGGTCAGATACCTTTTCCAAACAGGTTCCAGCCATGAGCGCTTCTTGAGTTTTAGCAGTTTGGAAAGTTTGTCTTCAGAACTGGAACAGACAAAGGTACATCAGTAAGACATGGAGTCCCTTGGTACTCATTATTCGGAAGAAAAACTGTGTTTCCACTCCCTATTACTATTAATCATTATAATTATGCATTTAATCAGTACTTATTGTTTATTGATCATCCACTCTTCAATACACTGGTCAAGTTTCTCTGAGGAATGAAAACATAAATAAGATTTAAATATCAAGAACTGAGAGACAGTTTTCATTAAAGTGGGAAATAGTTTCCTAATAAATAAATGCAATTAATTCTGAAGGCAGTGATATTCTTCATTATGAAACTGGGACACTTGACTAATTGTTTACAGATGCTGCTGCACAAGCACTTCTAAGCTTGAATCATTGTTCTCTATTGCTTTGCTCACTTGATATTGTTAATACGGCCTTCATTCCGGTTGTATCCCTGGAGTGGTTGTGCTAAAGAACTTGAGTGCTTTCTGTCTGCCAGTATGTGGGAGGGTGTTCATGGAATATCATGTTTAATCTTCTCAACAAGGGATTGCTGATGAGTTACAGAAAATTCAGAGACTTATGTGGCTCAAGGTCACATGACTGGTGAAGGACAGAGCCTGGTTGCAGCTCCAGGCCTTTCTGATGCCAGAGTCCTCTCTTTCCTGCTACACCCTGCTGCCACTCACATGTTGTCTCCTTAGGATATGGATATAAAGCCTGACAATGTTATTCTATTTTTGTTTTCTTTGCTCTTTATCAACACCATTCTGTTCTTTGGATTCCTTTGTGTTGTGCTTGCTCCATACATATACCTCTCACAACAGGCTCTGAGGCTAAATGCATATAAACAATTTCAAACATAACTCTACTTTCTCCATGGTTTTTCCTTGGTTCTGGGAAACATTAAGGGGAAAAAATACTATTTTTTACTTCTGATTCTATTCATGGGATGCTGAAAGATTATGCTGTGAAGTCAGTCTTCACAATTGAATCCGCAATAACTAAGCTCACATATATCAGTAGTGCAGTGAGTGGTTATAAGCTTAGAATTCAGAATTGTGACATTAGCAAATACCGTATTTTATGATATTATAAATATATCTACTACTAGTACAAGGAAGCTTTACTTATTCATTTTTATTCTCTTAAAATGCAGGGTACTTCTCTGAAATAATGTTGATATTTCTATGAGGACATTAAATCTTTCAAACGTGAAGTTATAATAGATTTATGTAGTAACTCTATCTTATATGGCATTATGTAATAATTCTGGGAGATGCTCTGTGGGAAAAGATGGCTATTGGAAATCTAACTTTAAAAAACTATTTTACATTAGGTTTCCACATTACCTACTTAGTAGACGGTTGTTTGTGATGAAAATTTAAACCTCCTGTGAGATTCTCTTACATGAAAAAAGTGAGATTAATTTTTTTCACTCAAGATTATCCTTTGGTTTACATTTTTAAATTCAGTAGTCAGTAGTTCAGGTAACCACTAAAATTTACCAGTGCCTCAAATATATTAAATTAATTTTTGATTTTTTGAATGAAAATCATTGTGTGAATTTTATAAACTATTTTGCCCTCAATTTTACATGAGGGACATAAAAAAATTATAATAGGTACTTGCCAGAGTTCCAGGTAAGTTACTGGAGATAGTAAAAATGAAGCTGCTAATTAAATGCTGACGATAACCTACCAGAAAAGCATCATGGCATTTCATACAAAAGACCCAGAACCTGGAAAGTAATTCACCAAAGTTCAACAACTAGTAATGATCAAAGCCAAGATTCTGGTCCATGTATGACAGTTGTAAAACTTCTCTTCTTTCCACCATGTGGTATGTGGATTTATAGAAAATAAGTTCAACACCGTTAACATTAGATCATATCTCTTTTCAGAGAACTAGTTAACAAAATGCTTCTTTATAGTAAACTAGAGACCCGGTGCACAAAATTTGTGCATGGGTAGGGTCCCTAGGCCTGGCCAGCAATCAGGGCTGATTGAGGCCTTCCAGCTGCCGGCCAGGGCTTTCCTTCATTCCGCACCGTCCCCTGGTGGTCAGTGCACATCATAGCGAGCGATCAAACTCTCGGTCAAACTCCCCAGGGGATACTTTGCATATTAGCTTTTATATAGATAGATAATAGTGGTACTCTGTATTGACTCAGATAGTCGTCAATTAAATAAACAAATATTTATATTTATTGCCCTGGACATTTATTACTCTATGATTGAAAAAATCAATCACTATTGATTGTCCTGATTATTCTGAAATGTCCTGTGATAAGCTAACATATTTGTGAATAAGTTAATTATTATAATGCAGCTCAGAATTCTAAACAATAAACCCAAACCAGGAAACAATGAAAAAACATTTTTGTGAGAATTGTTGGATTACTGTGAAGGTGTGTGTGTGCGTGCGTGTGTGTGTGTGTATATATATATATAGTGTGTGTGTGTGTGTGTGTGTGTGTGTGTATGGTTGTGTATATAAAATGAAAATAGCAAAGTCTATTCTGGCCATGATGAAAATACATCTGTTTTATGGCTCAGCATATAATATGCTAATACACATGCGTGTGTGAATCTACCCATCCATCGAATCTGGGGGAGACTCTGCAGTACATATATGCAGTTTATTTAAGGGCAGAGTTTAAAGGAAGTCGCCTTCCTAACAGTTCTAATATATTTTTCTAGGAGTTTTCTAAGCGGACAGAAGGTATTGCAGTCCAGGCTGAGAGCCTTGTGAAGGAAGCTTCAGAGATACCACTTGGGCCCAAGAATAAGCAGCTGCTCCAACAGCAGGCCAAGTCAATCAAAGAACAAGTCAAAAAGTTAGAAGACACCCTCGAAGAAGAGTATGTGCTTGACACGCCCTAAACTTTCGTCTCTGAGATAACATTCCATACACTCTTTCCTGTATATTGTATTCCTCACATTCTTTATAAATCTTGAAGTGTCTGTGTAGTTCAGCATGTTTTGAGGAAGCAACTCACAATTCAAAAGACAGTACCACCAACACAGAAGCCAGCATCTCTAACAGAGCAGAAACATATCAGGGATGTGGTCTTTGCTTCGGAAACGGGTTCTGTTTGTGAAAAAGCCATACCTGTTAAAGTCCGTGGCCTTTATACATTGGAGAGGGAATCTCAAAAAGGAACTGATATTGAAAATAAATGTTTACTGTATTATGCTGCTGTCACCAGTTAGAGGGAAGAGGAGATATTTTGGTTGTGTAGGTTCTGGGCTGAAATACATAAGATATAGTCCAAATGTCTTCATCTCCAAGCTCACAGAGCTTGTCAGCAGTGCCTCAGTATTCAAAATCCACTGATTGATATTCTATTTCCAAAAATTAATTTTAAAAGTCTACTTTATATTTAAATATTTAATATATGTTCACCTACAAAAGGAAAGAAAGAATCGTTTGGCCTATGGTATCCTGTTATGTACAAAATGTACACACAAAAACCTGGGAGGGAATAGACATGAGAATATGGCCAATGTTCCTCAAAACAATATGGCTGAACATTCCTATTTTCAAAGTTATTTAGTGGCAAATCACTGACACATCCTTAAGGTATAGGACAGAATTTCTAAGATGGATTTTTAAATGTAAAATTTGTTTTTATACTCTTAACACTTTGACATTAAGATTGTACATTGCCTAAACTTTAAAGGTTGTTAAATAATATATTTAGAGGAAATTATTATGACTTTAAACTTTGAAAATGTTAAATATTAAATACTATTCATCAAGGTATGGAAAAAGTAAAACTTGGAGTGTATTAGGAAGGAATCTACTTTTATGAGGAATGTCCGTTTGAATCCATCTTTATTTAGAAATGTGCAATATAACGTAGCTTGCATTTCCTGTACTGATAAGAACATTAGGCACGTACAGGGTACATATTTGAGACTGCAATATTACTTAATTGGACAATCAATGATACCATTGTATTTTTTTCTTGATGTCTTCAAGTGCCTTTCGGTAAACAGGAAAATTTTTTCACTTTTTTTTTTTTTTAGCAAAGGGACTTACCAGTGCAATGATAGACTATAAGTTTCTTACTCTTTTTCTAAACTGAAAGCCATAATCCCATGGATACACATGCATAGCTAATACAAACTGGAAATCTACAGCTAAATTTGTGTTCATTAGATTTATTACAAATAAAGCCCCAGTTGTCTAAAAGCATTTAGGGTGCTCATGTACAAGGATTTATAAAAGTATTTTGGAGTCAAGACTGTAGAGACACCTGAGAATAGCTGACGTTATTATAGATTATAGATTGAAGACTTAGCTCCAGTGATAGAGCAGTTCCTGCCTGTCAACATGGAATTCAAGTTACAAGCTCCGTCTTGATTTGTAAAGATGCCTTTTGTAAGGATCCTGGAGCATCAAGCATCACTGTGGTCCCTCTCCTCTAAGACAGGAGGACCGTGCCCACAAAAGTAGACAGCTGCAAACGTGTGCACTACGTACGCAGGCAGTTGTATTTAAGTAAGTCCTGGCAACTACTTATCGTGCCATTTAACTAGACGATACCTGTATTCAATCCCCCTTGCACCCCGAAATATTTTGTTCGAAGCACAGTTCTATTCATAGCATGGTGCAGAAGCTATTTCGTTAAACGCTCATTCTCAGAGGAGATAGGAAGACGACAACTGACAACTAGTCGGACCAAATGTGCGGTTTTTCCCTGTCCTCGTAGTTTCAACTTTGATATGGTCACAAATGTCTTAACTTATCTTTTTACATAGCAATTTAAGGGAAAATGTATTGCTGTTCTTTATTAAAATACTGCATTTGATTTACTTAATTTGGTTAATTTTAGTATTAAAACCATGGAAATGGTGAAAAACAAGTGGGAACATTTTGGCAATAATTTTGAGACCCTGTCCGTCTGGATAACTGAGAAAGAAAAAGCACTCAATGCCTTGGAAACCTCGCCATCTGCCATGGACATGCAAACCAACCAGATTAAGGTGACCTGCTCACACGTTCGTTGCATTTATAATCCATGTCTAGCTTTTAAAAACTCCTTTCTTGCATTTCATCCAATGCTCTTTGGCCCCAGGACAAATCTTTCATTGCTATGTGACTCTATTAAAATTAAATTCACACAGATTGCTGAGCTAAGAGGTCTTGATTGATACCGGGCAACCGTTTATAGATGGAATTATGTGTTAATATTGTCTGACTTAAGCATCCAAAGCTAATATTGTGTGCAATACCATTAAAATGATTTTATGGTTACATTATTCTTTTCCTTGATTTTGAATTAACCCCATTGAAGTACTCTGTTGATTCATTTATACAACATGAACTGTATTCATCATCTACAACTGTGCTTACAGAATTATCCCAAATGTCTAGTTCAAGAGTTAGTAATATTTACCCTCACAGACCACAAGGAGGAGAAATTATTTTCTTTACGCAAAGCAATCATACCCATCGCTCCGATTCTTTCATTTATGATGACTTTCAGAGCATGGACTAGACTCTGTGATATCTGAGCTCCCCAACTCTAAAATAACCATCATTGTTCACTCCATTCAAATAGTTTAAGAAAAAGATGGGCTGAATGTAATGAATTCTGAGGGTCCGTTTCTCCTTTTTTATATGCAATTTTTACACATCACATTTTTAAAATTCAGCCACTTCTTTTTCTATCTCAGCCTATTTTATTGGAAAGGGGAAACCCTCTGACATTTCATTCAATTAAATATAGTGAAATGAATACCAAGGTGAGGGAACATTTCACATTATGACTCAGAGCAAGTCATCGCCATGTGCACGGTGGGAGGGTGCGATCTTGCTTAGCTTGGCTTACATGCTGTGCAGATCATCCTGGTTTATCACACGTCTTATGCAACCGAGGCTACGTGCAGCCTGGTATGTACAAGTATGCTTATCTGTTGGGTGGTATAGTAGGAAAAACAGATGTTAAGCCATTAGGAATATTCATGGAATATGTTTACTCTTTAAAACTATTTTTGCAAAGTTGTCATTTAATCATTTTTGCTAAATTCTGAGAAAACAAAGAATAACACACTTAGTTTTGTCTCAAAATTGTTCTTTCTGAAATTTTAACATACACATTCTAATTTGCTTATGCTTTCTATTCACTCTTTTCACTATTATTTAACCTTAATTTCTGGACTTCAGAAATATGTAACTTTACCAAACATCATTACATTGTTACTCTTTAGAAAACAAAACAATTACATATTTTATTTTTAAATATATAAACATTCAATTGTGGATTTTCATGCCATCAGCGTAGAAATACATTTTAATATTCCAATGTGGCATTTTGGAAACTATTTAAAAATGTATTGTATGAATATGAAGAGCAAGAAAATCATTTGCTAGAAATAATCAAAGATAGAGTGAAACGCACTTTAGTGTGGAATCTGGGCTAATAGGTTCATGTTCTATTTCCACAAAGAATTAAATGATAGGAAATAGTAAAAATATGGCCGTATTTGTCATGTTTTCTATTGAAAACAACCTCAGGATAAAACTAATTCATAACATTGCATAGGTATGAAGATATTTATCTGCAAGCCCACTTTTGGTCTTCATTACATGCTATTCCAAATGAACTGATTTCTTATTCCTAATTGATAATTTACAGGTGATAAGAACATATACCGGGTTCATCTTCTATCTTCTCATTCTGGATTATATAGCTTGCTGATGACAAGTATTACACTAAGAAATTACAACTAAAACTGTTTCATTGAGGTGTTGCAAGCACCTACAACAATTATTGACACCTAGGAAACACTCAATATATGTTTGTTAAATCTATGAGTAATTTTTCTAAAAAATATCATTTATAAACAGTAAAACAAAGGAGGAATTGTATTTATGCTCAAACAACAAATACCTATCAAGAATGCCATTGCAGTCATGCATTTTGGAAGTAAAATAAGTCATATACTCACACTAGTTATTTCTGATTTGCCTTATCTAGACAGAAATTATCTCTATGTTTTCTCATTTAAGCTTAAGTCACATTATCTTTTTCTAGGGTAACAGTATTTTTCATTTAAATAGGAATTGTATTTATGCTCAAACAACAAATACCTATCAAGAATGCCATTGCAGTCATGCATTTTGGAAGTAAAATAAGTCATATACTCACACTAGTTATTTCTGATTTGCCTTATCTAGACAGAAATTATCTCTATGTTTTCTCATTTAAGCTTAAGTCACATTATCTTTTTCTAGGGTAACAGTATTTTTCATTTAAATGATTTGAAACAGATTGTCTGGATTTTTTTTTTTTTTTTTTGCTTTTTTATTGAAGCTTAAGTCACATTATCTTTTTCTAGGGTAACAGTATTTTTCATTTAAATGATTTGAAACAGATTGTCTGGATTTTTTTTTTTTTTTGCTTTATTTTGATTGAACGATTTGGCTCTTTTCCTCAGAGAAATAATTTTCATTTTCTTCTACATAAATAAGCCTCTACGTTTTTGAGAGACAGATAGACACTTCCGGTCACATATGCACACACCTCCTTGATGGCTTTCAGCCCTTTTCAGGTGTTGGCTAATACATAAAATGCCCACAACTGAAATTGTAGCAAGTAGGTGCTTTGCTGTAGAGCCCACAGCTAGTGAGTAAAGCAGTGGCAATAGAGGGGGGCCCAGGGCCAGCAGTAAAGGCATCACCTGAGGAATTGTTAGAATTGCAAAGACTTGGATCCACATTAGACCAACTGAGTCCCAGTCCCTGAGGATGGGGGCCAAGTGATCTTAATGATTCCAGACTTGGAATATACTGGCATAAAGGATAGATGATAAATGTGAAAAGACTGGGTTTAGGTCGGAGTGGAATCAGATAAGCTTGTAGTTTGGTCAAATTTGAAATACTCAACTACATTTTAGGAAATTTAAGCGAATGTCAATATTAGCATTCCTGTGAGTGATTGGAGCACACTCCTTCTCTGATCAGTTGGTTAAAATCCTTGATTCATAGGGTAAGCAGGGAATTCCAGATACCTTCAGAGTTCCAGGGACATCTCCCTGCTTACATCACTGCAGGCAGGAGTAGCTATTTCTCTTCATTCTCCATCCAGCCAGCACAACCACCCATGTATATTTCAGACATAATCTGCATATCTATCCTCCAAAAATGAGGTCAGCAAACACATGGGGTTTGTTCATAGCTGCTCTCTGACAACCCCAATACATTGAAATGTCCGTTTTCTCTCTGCAATATTTGTATCATTTCAGGAAGACAAGCTTGCTCAGCCTGCGTTGTCATTTTTCTCGTTTTGAATACTAGGTCACGATTCAGGAAATAGAAAGTAAGATCGGCAGCATCACAGGGCTGGAAGAAGAAGCGCAGTCTTTCGCCCAGTTTATTACCACTGGAGAATCAGCCCGCATCAAGGCCAAGTTGACACAACTAAGAAGATACTGGGAAGAACTTCGAGAGCACGCACAGGGTCTGGAAGGAACAATCCTGGGACAGGTCTCTCAGCAGCAAAAGTTTGAAGAGAATCTTAGAAAGGTAAGAATTGGTCCATGCATGCTACAGTGACCTGTTTCACACTGCATTTATAGGGCAATGCAGTAAAAAGTCCAGAAATAGTAGAATAAGGAAACAACACAATTTGCCAATGATTTACCAAGTTGTCCATGATGCTTAAGTTTATAACTATTTTTATGGTACATTTTTGAGGGAATAAAAAATGTCATTATACATTGTGTTCAGATAGGCATTAAGACTTATTTATATTTCTTTGAAATAATAGGACACATTCATTTTAGATTTTTTAAGCATATTTTATCAACACATTGAAAGTTATCCAAAAATGATAGGCATGCTGCTTCCCCAGTAACCTTTCTCGTCTTGATGTATGTTTTTCCCACCATTATTTTGATATTTCACCAATGTTTTAGGCCCAGCAGTCTGTGTCTGAATTTGAAGATAAACTTGCTGATCCAATTAAAACATGTTCTTCAGCTACAGAAACATACAAAGCTCTCCAAGAACATATGGTAAGAGTATGCTTCAACATTTCTGCTTATTTATCAACTCGGAAACTTGATAAATCCTGCTTGAAAAGAAAACATAGTAAACATTTTTATGAGAGTTAAAATTTTTTAAATGTTTATGTTATATGAGGAATGATATAGATCCAGCATATTTACTTCATATGACACAAGAAATATAAGCATGCAAGTGAGTTTTCATTAAAATGTATGTTAAAGAAGTATCCATTTAAAATATATTTCTCTCTCTCCTTCGACATGGACAACAGTGTGGTGATTACAGGGTGGAGGAGGATGGGTGCAGGTGGTGGAAGATAGGGAGGGGATAAGAGATGGTGGAAAAAATTAAATTTTAAAAAATATCTACTTTGTTCCAAAAAAAAGTCTCCCTCTCTCTTAATTAGAACATGTAACTTTTTCATATCATAGCTTTAATAAATCCTGCTACCTCTTACCAGCATTATAAAAATTAAGTATGCAGAAAAATATACATGTGCAGAGCAGATTTCAGATTTTAACCCGCTAGACTCAAATGTGCAAAGACTATATCCCCGCTCACCTTTTCGCAGTGACTAGCTTGTTTGGTCTGGTCCCTGAACTGGTGACCGTTGTGAGATGTTTTGCGAAGGAACAGCAAATGCTTCTGGCAGAATTCAGGGGAAGGAGCAAAGGAGGAACATCAGGCACAAAGAAATACTAAAACAAAATATCTGTTAATTAATAAACAAAAAAGCATATGTTATCCCTGTTACATGTGCATGTGTACACACACATACATACATGCAGGAAAGGGCTTTAGGGACAGAAAGCAGACAACTGGCAAAGGCACATCTGGAAAGAGGAGAGGAACTGACGTCATTGGAATTGTTATAATAAGAATGCATTTTTGTGTTACTGATGTCATTTTTTAAAAAGTACCCCCAAAATGAGGAAAATTAAGTTAATTGAATTTCATGGAATTATTTTAATAGACAACTAAGTCTATTACCAGAGAAGATAATATTCTATTTTTCTTAATATTTAGATTTCTGAAGCCAGTTATTTTTCCCTGTCTTGATTTTCTGGTTTGTAAAATGGGACTAGTGAAAGAACATAACTCTTAAGGGTCTGATGGAGAGTAAATGAGTTGGTGTATGTAATGTACATAGCACAGTACCTGCCACATTCCGAGGCTACTTATGGTTATTATCATAACTAGGCCCAGTGCACGAAATTCGTGCATGGGGGAGGGGTGTCTCTCAGCCTGGCCTACACACTCTCACAATCCAGGACCATCAGGGGATGTCCGACTGCCAGTTTAGGCCCAATCCCTGCGCAATCCGGGATCACTGGCTCCTAACCGCTGGCCTGCCTGCCTGCCTGCCTAATCACCTCTAACTGCCTCTCCCTGCCTGTCTGATCACCCCTAACCACTCTGCATGCCTGCCTGATGCCCCTAACTGCTCACCTGCCTTCCTGATCGCCCCTAACCACTCTGCATGCCTGCCTGTTGACCCCTAACTGCTTGTCTGCTTGTCTGATCGCCCCTAACTGCTCGCCTGCCTGCCTGATCACCCCTAACCACTCTGCCTGCCTGTCTGTTGACCCCTAATTGCTTGTCTGCTTGCCTGATCGCCCCTAACTGCTCGCCTGCCTGCCTGATCACCCCTAACCTCCTCTGGCGTGGATTCATGCAGAAGGATGTCCGGAATGATGTCCAGAAGGTCGTTGGTTGTCTGGTCTAATTAGCATATTACACTTTTATTATAGATAACTATATGCATAAAAGATAACAGCTATGTCAGCTGTACTCTTCCAATATATTTTTATAGAAATTACTGCATGTTACATATAGCTCTTGAAAATTTAGAATAGAGTTTTTAAATAAATTTCACATAAAATGAATAATAATTTTCACAAATTATCTAACTTGTTAAGGAAAAGTAGACATTATTCAGATATACAGCAGCATGGTTTTATTGGGGCAGTAGTCTCTCCGTTTTCATTTTCATTCCTGCAATCATGACATAACTCTCTCCTCACTCTCACTCTGTGTCACTGGACATCACGGTCAGACAAGTTTCAGTGCCATTGTTGTGTGTTATGACTGAGGGGTCAGTTTTGGTGGGAATGGGTCTCAGAGGAAAATGGTGGCCTCGTTTCTGTCTGTTTTCATTGCCCTCCTCCTGTCCCCTCCCCAGGATCTCTGCCAGGCCCTGGAGTCCCTGAGCAGTGCCTTGGCCGCTCTCTCTGCTGGTGCCCAGAAGGTCGTGAGCAGAGGCTGCTCCGTCCAGGAGGCCGCAGCCCTGCAGCAGAGATACCAGGGGCTGCTGAGTCGGGCGAAGGAGAGACAGACGGCGCTGGAGAACCTGCTGGCCCACTGGCAGCGGTGAGCAGCCTGCCTTCTCCGGTTGCCACCTGGGTTTCAATAGCCACTCTTAATAAAAATAATATGTTTATATTCATTTTAGAGCGGGAGGAAAGGAGAGGGAGAGAGAGATAGAAACATCAACGATGAGAGAGAATCATCCATCAGCTGCCTCTTGCACACCCCTTACTGGGGTTCGAGCCTGCAACTCAGGCATGTGCTCTGAAGGGGAATCATAGCGGCAACCTCTTGGTGCCTGGGATGACGCTCAACCACTGAGCCACACTGGCTGGGCAATAGCCATAATCAAATAGGAAATTCCAGGCCAACTGTTCTCTAAGTGATGGGCAGTAATCATCCCAGATGTAAAACATGTCAAGTCATGTTTTTAACATGGGAGTGGACAGGATGTACCAGGTACATGTATCTTTCCATATTACACACATATAGACATATGTGTGAGTACATATGTGAACATGAGAGGAGTGGTATTTTTACCCTCACGTCTAGGAATAAGATAACCAGCGTTGTATTATTTGTATTGCTTTGTGTTGGACCCTCCAACTGCAGAAAGGCCTCGCTTTCTAATATGATAATTTTGGATGCATTTGCTTCCTATCTCTGCTCTCTTTAGGCTGGAGAAAGAGCTGTCGACCTTTCTGACCTGGCTGGAGCGCTGCAAAGCCATAGCCAGCTCCCCGGAAGTGGATGTCACTGCAGACAGGGTCAAAGTGGAGAGCGAACTTCAATTGACACAGGCAAGCTCCAGGAAGTGTGGGGCAAACGACACACTCTTTGTCATGGCTGCATTGTAAAACAGGAGCAAACGCAAGCCCTCCAGCCAACTTAACTTCTGCTTTGGTTTTGTGATACCACAAAGAACCATCCACACCTGAAAGACAAAGTGTTGGTGAACTTGGCGATGGCCGATTTGATGATGTTACTATAGAGAGGAGGATAAAGCATTTTGACAAGCACCTACCATGTGCCAGCTATATCTATCATCCCCGTTAACACCATGCTATGTTGTTAGCTATCTATATGCATGTTTACCTCTTATTAGGTGGGAACCACAACTTTATGCATCCCTCACAGACCTAAGAGATTTATTGCCCGATGAAATATAAAAAACAAGTGGTTCGGCTGCATGAAAGGAAAATGAAGAGCACTTAAGCTCCCCAATTTGGCCCAATATTGTCTCTAAACAGAGGGAGCCCACATCCCTGTTACTGGAATCGCATCTCTGTTATTGTTAGGCATGCATTTTCTCTTTAGCAATAGTTCTCCTTTGATTCTCTTTGCCTGCTCCGTTTCTTCATCCTGAAAGAAATTCTACAGCATCTAAATGTGCCTGACAATGTAACTCAGACCCTGGAAAACAAATTCAAGTTTCAGTAGCCTTTTAAATGTTGGTTTAGAGATGAAATGGGTTCCTTTCTCAATTAAGGAATAAAACTTTCTATAGTTTAGTCCCCATAGCCTCCATTTTGCTTGGATAACAACCTCCAAAGGTCATTATGTGTCATGTGGCCCTTCCTTGTCAATCACGTTGAAAAGAGATCTATAACATGTTCTGTGTTCGGCAGGCACTGCAAAGTGAAGTTGTTTCCCAGGCCTCCAATTACAGCAACCTTGTGCAACTGAAGGAATCACTGTTCTCAGTGGCCTCCAAAGATGATGTGAAAACGATGAAACTACATTTGGAGCAGTTGGATGAGAGATGGAGAGTTTTGCCACAGATACTTAGCAAAAGGTTGGGGTTTTATAAAACATTCTAATAGTGTGCATTTTTTAAAATGGTGAGCCTATAAACTAAGAAAGCATAGTTTTGTTTACTTTTATTTAACCCAACTATTCACAGGATAATTATAGGACGGTAGAAAACCACTGTACTTGCCATTTTAAAAATCAAAGCACTCAAATATTGGCATTTCTGATGAACCTCAATTCAAAATTTTAGTCTCATACTCAGGGCAAATGATCAAACTAGTTGAACTATAGTAATGAGAGTAGGTTTGCTCATGTTTGTATTACTTATTGCTTAAGCTGTTTGTGTACAGGAGGAAATGGTAATTAAAATTTTGTTTCTCATGATATGTCTAAGCAAAGGCATCCACTCACCTATTATTAGTCAACCTGGTTCATTTATTGCACAAGCAATGGTTGATCCCTGACCATATCCCACACCCCTTTCTAGGTCCTGGGGATATAGTAGTAAGCAAGGCAGGCAGAGTCCTGTCTCTAGCTGAGGGGAGGATCAATATATAATTAAACAAATGAGTGAATGACGCTGTTTCAGTTGGTAAGTAATGTGAAGACAACAACACAGGGTAACATGGCGGGGACTGTAGGTCCGGCACCGCCCCCTCAGGTACACGACGTCTGATGCAGATCTGAACACTGTGCAGGAGGCAGACTCAGGTGCTTCGGGGGCAAATCACAGGGGCAGAGGGAGCAGAAAGGGCAAGGGCCCTAAGGCAGCAATGAGCTGGGATGTTGGGGAAGCGGCGGGCAGTGGCGGTGTGGGCGGCCCTGGATCAGATGAGGTCAGAGAAGTCGATGATGAGGGACCCCTCGTAGACCACAGTAAGGAGCCGTGGCGTTTCGCCTTCCTGTGTACCCAGGAAAGTGTCCGGGTTTAGGCTTGGCAGAGGATGTTCCGATGACATGGAAATCGTTCCTGGCTGTTCTCTAGAGAGTGGATTATGGTGAGGCCACGGTGGTGGCAGGAAAGAGGCCAGCTTAGGAGGCTGTTGGAGGCCAGGCCAGAGATGAGGCGATGCAGACCAGGGCGTGAAGGTGGAGAGGAGAGCCCAGCATGCTCTGATGGGTGCCCAGACATGCACGGAGCAGGTGTGGTGGTGAAGAAATGGAGGACCATCTGGGTGGGCAGCACTGACAGTAACTGAGACGCAGCAAATTGTAAGAGAAACGGGGTTGGAGAAGTAGAAAGCATTAAGAGTTCTGGTTTGGCCCTGTTGGACCACATTAGTTTTGCCAGTGATTAAGCTGATTCCAAAAACATACCAACTCTTCCGTTCCACTGCGGGGCATTTAACTTTTATTATTTATTGACTTATTGATTGATTGATTGATTGATTTTAACTTTATTGGGATGACATTGATTAATAAGAGAATAGAGTTACTGTACGACTCAGCAATCCCTCTCCTGGGTATAAACCTGAAAAACTCGAAAACATGTATTAGCCAAGATATACGCACCCCTAAGACACTTTACCTTTTGCACCGCCCTCTGCCTAGGCTTCACTTCCTGCAGTCTGTGGTCGCTGAGCACCAGCAGTTTGATGAACTGCTGCTTTCCTTCTCTGTCTGGATTAAGCAGTTTCTTGGTGAATTACAAGCCACGTCTGAGATCAGCTTAATGGACCATCAGGCAGCTGTAACCCGGCACAAGGTAAAGTGCATTCCTTTAAGAGGGAAGAAACATTTGTTCATCACAGAGAGCTCTTCCATTTTAAAGGGAAGCGAATTTAAAAAAAAAACACTTGCCAGCGATTTAACATTGTATTTCTCCATAAATGTTCTCACAATGTGTGATGCAGATAACCTTAAGCAGATAAAGCCACTTCAGATAAAATACCTTTTTTTTCCACAGTGGAGCGAATGATTTCTAGGATAAAGTGATGAGAATGTTCACTTGTAAGCTTCTCAGTTTTGTTTTGGTCCAATGCTAAAAACTAATACTGAATCCCAATGCTTTCACAATATGGTTTTTCTGAATTACTATTTAGCTTGAAAGTTATTTAAAATTTAGTTTTCTTATTTCTAAATTATGCATAATATGTAGCCTGATACATTTTTTAAAAAATTAAAAATCAGATATTGGTCATCAAGTATTGGAATAGTTGGGGTAAGCTACATGATAAGCTTATAACAATATTTACTGATAATACATTTAATGTCTATTGAGTGTTCACTCTATGCTGGGCTTGCCAATTGGGTTTACCCAAACGAAAAGTATGTTTTCCTTTCTTCATGGTTGCAGGTGGTTTTACAATTTGGAGCAAGATGCTCACCAAAGTTAGGCTCCCACCCTCTAAAGACAGGAGCTAGGGTGCCATCTTCCTCAATGAGTACATTTCAGGGGGATGACTCCCAGGTGTTTGAGAAAGTTAGTCTTCAGTAGTAAAACTGTCTAGGAGGTTTAAAAAGATTTACATCTCAAAGGGACAGAGAATGAATTTGTAAATTTTCTAAAGTAAATGCTCAAAGAAGCCTCTAAAGTTTAGTAGTTCAGCTGAGGGAACTATTAGGGCCATTCTGGTCACGATTAAGACAGGTGATTATTTCTCTTTTGTGGAAACCATGCTGAGAGTGTTAGCATTCCTCTGATGGGTTTTAACCATGATATATTGTGAGCTGGTCAAGTTTTCTATATAATAGCCTTAGCCAGTTCATCTACATTTTCTTAGAGAGAAGGCAGCTAAAACTTGTGCAGTTTCATCTGCTTTATTCACACCTCTGAAAAGAGGCTCACGTCTGTCTATTCCCACACTCCTTCACTATGTTAGAATTAGCTGGATTGTATGTATATGTATATGAAGGTGTGTGTATATATATATGTATATATAACATATCTTTTAAAACCTTACAAATTTTCAGTTTCTTTTGTATATACTGTAACTATACCTTTTAACTATATATACATATATCTTTTAAAATCTTTCAAATTTATATATGTGGATATATACTTTTTGATAATTTATTGGGGTGACATTGGTTAATAGAAGCATATAGGTTAACTATTTCTATCCACAAAGGAATTCTTTTTCATGGAATACATTAGTTCCAAATCAGAGTTGTGTTTTATATGAAATACATAGATGAGCAAAACAAGAGAAATCTAAGAATCTTTCTAAAAGTTTCATTGTGGGTGACCTTTAAATACTATACCATACATTGCATTTAAAATGTGTCTTTTTAAATTTTTATTTATTAATTTGATTGGATATATGTTAGAATTAGCTGGATTGTATGTATATGTATATGTATGTGTGTGTATATATGTGTACATATAACATATCTTTTAAAACCTTACAAATTTTCAGCTTCTTTTAACTGTATATACTGTAACTATACCTTTTAACTATATATACATATATCTTTTAAAATCTTTCAAATTTTATACATATGCATATATACTTTTTAATAATTTATTGGGGTGACATTGGTTAATAGGAGCATATAGGTTAACTATTTCTATCCACAAAGGAATTCTTTTTCATGAACTACATTAGTTCCAAATAAGAGTTGTGTTTTATATGAAATACATCGATGAGCAAAACAAGAGAAATCTTAAGAATCTTTCTAAAAGTTCATTGTGGGTGACCTTTAAATACTATACCATGCATTGCATTTAAAATGTAACTTTTTAAATTTTTATTTATTAACTTGATTGGGTGACATTGGTCAACATGAACCTATAGGTTTCCGGTGTGGGTTTCTGTGCTACAAGATTGTATATTGCCCTGTGTATCTTGACATCACCAATTCTGTAACATGTCTGTGTCAAAAACCACAGTGTCCCCGAGGAACCGGTGACTCTCTCTCCCCTTCCAGGACCACGCAGCAGAAGTCGAAAGCAAAAGGGGGGAACTGCAAAGTCTGCAGGGGCACCTCGCGAAGCTGGGCGCTCTGGGTCGAGCCGAGGACCTTCACGTCCTGCAGGGCAAAGCAGAGGACTGCTTCCAGCTGTTCGAGGAGGCCGGCCAGGTGGTGGAGAGGCGGCAGCTGGCCCTGGCCCAGTTGGCTGGGTTCCTGCAGAGCCACACCTCTCTGTCAGAGGCGCTCCACCGGCTGAGGCAGACGGTGGAAGCAACCAACAGTATGAATAAGAAACAGACTGACTTATTAGAAAAGGACCTGCATGATGCTATTCAAGACGTGAAGACGTTAGAATCTACGGCCATCGCTCTGGACGGCATTCTCACCAAAGCCCAATACCATCTTAAATGTGGAAGCTCTGAGCAAAGGACTTCCTGCCGAACCTCAGCTGATCACCTCTGCTTGGAGTTAGAGAGGATCCAGAACCTTCTGGGAACCAAGCAGAGTGAGGCAGATGCCCTGGCAGCATTGAAGAAAGCATTCCACGACCAGAAAGAGGAGTTGCTGAAAAGCATCGAGGACATCGAAGAGAGGGCTGACAAAGAGCGTCTGAAAGAACCCACCCGCCAAGCGCTCCAACAGAGGTGGGAGGAGACTGCTGAAGCCGTGGCCTCAGCTACTTTTTATTTGTCCTAGGATTAACTCTTGTGCAAAACTTTGATAGTACCATACTTAGCAGCGTCTCTTTTTATATTTTTAGGATAAAACTCATGACTAATTTGACACTTCAGGTCCTAAAATTTATTTGGGTTCGTTGAGGATTTTCCTAAGGGCCTTGTGTAAGCCACTCTGAGATCTTATTTACAACAGAGTATGCAGATCAATCTGTGTATTTTAACAGATAGAAGGGACTCCTGTTCTGTAACAAGAATGAAAGTAGAGGAGGAAGGGAGGGATGCAAGTAGACTTGTAGTTCTGGTGCTAAATCTGAAGGAATTCTTCCCTGGTGGCTGCTAGCTCTCAGAAAAGATGGAGCAAACTCGTTCGTTGAGATTGAGTGACAGGGGATGTGGACAGAAAAGGGTGTGAGATAGTCTTCTTATAGGAGGAAATGGAATTATACCTGTGGAGCTTGGTAAGATGATGAACTGCCATTAAAGATTTGTATTTATTCACTAAAAATGAAGCCAATCAGCTTGGCGGAATGGTTCTCCTAACCACTATTTTTTTAAAAATATATTTTTATTGATTTCAGAGAGGATGGGAGTGGGAGAGAGAGAAAGAAACATCAATGATGAGAGAGAGTCATTGATTGGCTGCCTCCTGCATGCCCCACATTAGGGATCTAGCCCACAACCCAGGCATGTGCCCTGACAGGGAATCAAACCGTGACTTCCTGATTCATAGCTCAACGCTCAACCACTGAGCCACACCGGCCAGGCTCTCCCAACTACTATTAACAGTTTGCTTAGAGATGTGAAGAAGGAATAGAAGTGGGTTTAAGCAAAGATGGGGGATTTCCAGGTGTAAATTGCTAATACTGTAGCCTTCTTTTCAATCTTATTTTTCCCTCCTGATAGAACTTTCTCTCACTCATGTTCTTAGGGTCACTTTCTTTTCCATTTTTTTTCAGGGGGCAAAATGACAGTTGAAAGGCATTCATAACAAGGCATCCCTAATTGATCGGAATTATGTTGACCCTGCCAATTTGTTTCCTTATAATCAGAATCAAACATAGATTAACAATCAATTCATGGCTCCTGAAGACACATGCCTTGTGGGCAATAAACTATCTGACTGGTTTAACAATAAATTTACAAAAGGGAATAAGACTTAGGAAGGACAAAATAGCATCCAGAGCAAAGACAAGATGATCAAGGCAAAGAGCCAATGACTCGCCCAGGAAATAGCAGTAGGATTGGTGCCACCAGGCGGCCTGGCCTCTCAGGCCTGTTTGGGGCAGCGACAGGAGGTCCTAAATGTGCTGGAGAAGAAGGCCCAGGTTGAGCTCAAGAGACATATTAATACCCACAACACTGAACTCACCAGTGTCACACAGAGGATACCGAAGTGGTACAATTGATTGATTTATTAAATTTCAGCTCTACATATGCTACACTGTGTGACCTTGGGCAAATCACTTCCCTTCTTGTAAATGGAGTTAATGATAATGTTTGCTCCTAGCCTCTTTGTTTTGGGAATTGAATGAGACAATGCCTATATAAAGGCAAGAATGAAAGAATCAATAGCTGCCTCTACATGGCCACTCTTCACAAATACTCAAATATCAATATATTAGAGACCAAAAAAATGAACATTTTCTCATGATAACCTTCAATAAAACATGG